AAGCACTAGTAAGCCGTGTTATAGGTTGAACACGATGGCCTTGTGTCTTTTTTTTAACCTATGTGTAGCATTGCAATGCAATGCTACGGTGTAATTTGGTAGCATTGTCACAAAGGTTTCTCAGCCAGAGGGGCTGAGTGGTTCTAGGAACAAAAGTAGTTTTACAAAGAAAAGAGCTGGCTTTTCAGGTCTTTCCAGGAGTATACCTGGGATCTGAGACCCTGGAGATTACCAAGCATCTTGGGAGGGATGAAATCTCCAATCCTAGGTCCAGGTGTTGCCTATTACCGGCATAGGCCGAACAGGTGGCTGGAGTCAGCCTCATTAAGGAGACTGGACCAGAGTTCCAGGGTAGGTGGTGTGTGCGAGAGGCACACAGGAGTTAACCCGAATGGCATGTGTGCTGGAGCCATGAGAGAAGCCGGATGGTGTATGTGGGGCAGCCACATGGGAGACAGCCAGGGAGACTGATCAAGTGGTGAGGCTGAGTGAGCCAGGGATACACAGGAGGTATGTAGAAGCTGAAACCACACAGGTATGTATGGAAACCGTTCTTGTCCTACTGGAGTGCTTATGGGCATTGAATATTATTGTGGAGCTATTCCTCTGTGGGGAAGTGCCCGGAGAAACTCTGAGATTGGATCACATGGTCTGCGAAAGGTACCTATAGTCGGTGAGACTAATTATATTACTCTGCTCAAAAGACAAGTGGACTTTGCGTTTCCTTATGCGGACAAGAAGCTATTTTCTGTTTGTTAAGAATAAAAAGACTGTCCTTTAATGTTAAAACGGCTTAGTGATGAGTGATCACGAAGTGCTCACCATATCTGCAAAGTTCCCTAAATATCACAGCTGCAATGTATAACATTTTTGGTTTTAGACATGCTTTAAAGAGTATCCATAGTCAAAACTATTCAGGTCTTTTTTTTTTTTACACTTAGTTTTGGACACAGTAGGGAATAGTTAATGGTTTTTTTTTTTGCGCAGTCCGTTAAGATTTCCCCTTCACATCCTGTACCAGAGACGCAACAGGAAGTGAAATCTCACATGGTGTCCTCATTCTTTTTTTTTATACCTCCTGTTCTAGTGATAACTAAGACTTTCTAGTTCCTTTCTGTCCCAGTGATAAGTCAAAAATACAAATAGACAGATATATGGACACGTGTACAGTGAAAGGCATATTGCAAAAAAAAAAAAAAAGTTGAGAAATCTCTGTGTGCAAAAACAAATATGCCCAATGCACAGGAGGACTCGTTTTCAAACCAGTTTGTCACTTTTTTGGGGGCCTAATATAGCCACTCATTTAGGATATCTATTCCAACCTGATCCATGAATTGACCTGATCATCTTCTAATCTATCTAGGGCAGTCTCAAAATATATGACATTTAGGCCCCGTTCACATTGAGCGATTTATCGCGCGGTAATTCCCGCGATATCGTGGCAATTTATCTCGCGATATCGCTCTCCAATGCTTCTCAAGGGGGCAAAGGGTCCTGCTGTCGCGGGTCGCTACAGCAGGACCCTTTTTGGAGCGTATTTAGCCGCGATTCAAGCTTGCTCAAAATGCAAATCGCGCGACAAATGCGATATCGCTCATATTTCCACGCGATATGGCTCTATGTAGCTTCTCCAATCCATTTCAATGGAGCTGTTCACATCTCGTCGCTCAATATCGCTCAATGTCGCTTGTAGCTCGTCGCTGGTAGCTTGTCGCTCCTTTTTTCGAGCGATATTGCTCCTGATTGCATACAGCCCAATGCGACAAGTCGCTCAATGTCGCTCAGTGACAAGTCGCTCAATGTTGCGCGATTTTCATGTGGCTTAGGTCTCGTTCACACCTAGGCGTATTGCATATGCGCGACCGTCGCACGTTTCCGGAGGCTACTTGGCTGTATCCCAATGGAAACACGCAACAAAAGGCCTAAAGTAGTACCTGTACCTTTTCAGGCGTGGGCCATTTTGTAGCGCGTTAGGGACAGGCGGAAATACGCCAAGGTGGGAACGAGACCACTGAATACAATGGGATTTATATTTTTGAGCGTTTTGTAGAGCGTTCGTCGAGTGTAGAATGCGCTACAAAACGTTCAGGTGTGAACGAGGGCTCAGTGTGAATGGGGCCTTAGACTGGGGTGCCTCGAGATTTTGCATCATTTTAAAAGAAAGCCGTGACTGAAAACAGGTTGAGAAAACACTGGTCTAGGCTATCAGAAGGGAAATCAGCATTTTCACATTTGTTCTCATGACAACGACAGTTATTGAACATGAAAGCAAACAATAAGTGACACACTGGTAAAAAATAAAAGCACAAATGCTAAATAGTGAAGTAACCATTATTAGACAATAAGATCAGAAAGAAGCCTGTGTGACTAAAGACTTCATGTATGAGTGATGAACTCATTGGAAACATCATCATCACATTATTCACTGCTTGTTTTGTGGTAAAATTCCTGAGGAATAAGATGTCCGCCCCAGCTCATTTGGTCATTTCCACACTAGACTGGCTGTTTTACAGGTTTTTCTAATTTTACTGCTGAAAAGCTCAGTCACAGTCACGTACACATATGGCACATCAAGACAGCAAGGATATAGTGAATGCGCGCTCCGTATTAGGAAGCTAAATAGTTAGGTGGCCATATTTAACCTCATAGTTGTTTGGTGGAAACAAGCAAAGTGATGCCAAATCTTAACCCGTAGTGGCAGTTATTCTCAACCATTTGGATGACAAAAACTCTTTTCAAAAAACAAATGAAAAAAAAGGGGGGGGGTGCGGGTTATGCTGGCCTTTACTAATAACCAGTGGCCTGCGAATGCCCATAGACCACAGGGAGAAAAAATAAGGCATGCCAAAGTGATCAACTATTGTCCAACACTTCTGCCACATCATGCTGCCATAAACACCAAGGCTTGCCCAAATGATTATCATTCTTTTGCAGAGGAAAGGGGATGGCAGAGAGGGATGGAGGCAGACTATGCTTGTACTGCTTTATCCCAGGGCTCTAATCTATCCAATCTATGAACTCCTGAAAGCAGGTAGCGATAGGCCAACTTGAGTATTAGAACAGCTGAAAACAACCTAAAGCACCCTTTGTTTAGTGACATTGTGTTTCCTTATTTCTGCACAAAGCAAATTCATATCTGTTCAAGTTCTACCATCCAAAAGTAGCAACCACCCTTTTGTTCCTATACTGAAGACAGAACCAAGAGTTATATCGTGGACTTCTAGAATTCATTCACAACAACATGAGCGCTGACCCTTTGGTGGTAAACTTTGGTATATTTGGCTAAAAGGTTTACTGCACTTGCAGATGTTTTTTTTACAAATGCCTCTCACTTATCTGCTAACGATGCTGTTTTTGACATTTATGTTTTTAAGTGCTATGACTGAAATATATGTGGAGCAGAGGTTACAGCAGCACCTCACTGTGCAAAATTTGCATTTCTTACTGAAACAAAACCAATTCCACCTCACCAATCAGAAACATTCAAATTGTGACAAATATGCAGCAAACATGCACACAATAACACCACAAAAAATAACAAAATGTTTGTACGCTTAATCATGGTGCTTTGAGAATGAAGGTAAAATTCTACATGCAAGATTTCAGTTAGGATCCTGTAACACAGCACATGTACTCAAGTGTGAATGGCAACACAAGGTATCATGGGTTCTGCATTAGTTGGAATTGCATTAAAACATTGGTGTGAACAAGACCCCCATGTAAACCTAAAGTACAATTAAAATACCAAGTCTGGCACTGTAAAACACATAGCAGGCACCTCCATGGGTCTGCACATCAAGTCTGTTTTCCCATTCAGCATCCCAGGTGCCTGGAACCCTGGCCTAGCTTCTTGTGTGAAGGGTCTGGCCTGCCCCCTAAGCCTCACTTTTAACCTATGACTGATGTCTAGCCTCACTGGCCAACAGTGAGGCTTAGCAGGCAGGGACAGTGTCTCAACCCATCGGCTCAGGAAGCAGTCTATAAATCAGAGCACCCCAGGATTTACGGCACCCATGGGTGCAGAATTGGAAAAAGGACCTGTACAGGAAACTCTAGGTGCATGTTATGAGCTACCAAAGCTGGATTGAGTATGTTGGTGGCAGTTCAGCCTCTTAAGTCAATTTTACACCATAGATTGTAAGCTCCTTGAGGGCAGGGACTGTAATAAATAAATCATTTTAAACACACTTTTACATAGAAAACATCTCTGAAGCAAAAGATGAGCAGATAGAACTAGAGCCATCCTTTAACCAATAGCAAAATTGGGACCAGGGTATTTACTTGATGTGGACAGCACTCTGACATTGTTCACAGAAAAAAAGCCCAACTCCAGCTAAATGGGTTTTTTTTATGGGGGGAGGGGGGGATTGAACCCCAGATAAAGCCCAACTCCAGCTAAATGTTGTTTTTTTGGGGGAGGGGGGGTTGGGAGGGGGAATTGAACCCCAGTTAAGACGTAAACTACAAAAATACTTATTTCTAGTAGCGGGGAAGGGTACGCCACTTAGCTCCCAGGCACTTTGTTCCCAAGCCCTGGGTTAGCACTCCACTCATTCCTCTTTCTGTCACAGGGACAGAAACGCAAGGTGAAATCTGCCTAACTGGGTTAAGGACAGCAGTATAAACTTCACAGGAGTATTTACTTCTTCCAAGTCTATCCAAAACTAATAAAAAAATGTTTTGGCTGCAGTTTAGATTTAATTAGAAGTACTGACTGTGTGGCTGTGGAGCACATGTATTATCTCAAGCTTGGATTCTAATGTTTAAGTGTTAGACCACAATTTCCTTAAGCACCCAGACTGTGATTGTAACCAGGCCATGTGTCTGCCTCCTTGCTTCTTGGAGAACTGGGGAACATGCTTTATGATGGGATCTAATTCAGATTACATCTTTTCTAAGATATCATTTGCCAAAAGAGTAATGTGCTGGTCTAAATTAGAATCCATTTTCAAGACTTAGTTTCACACAACACACATTGGAAACATATGAAACTTGCCAACCTGGATTGCTTGACGTCCCTGTTGAGCATCAGCCAGAAGCTGAATAGTAAGTGCCCTTGAATCCTGAAGAGCATCTTGGAGGTAGACAAAACTGTGCCCAGCATGACGTCCCATAGTGCACTCACGACATATAGGGATAGAGCATGAATCACAATAGAAATGTAGAACCTGTAACACAGCAATATAGTTTACAGTTAGATGGGCAGTTTAAGGTAAACAAAAACACAAACAAAAACTATATAAAGATTGATTTTTCTGACAGGCACCTACTTACTGCACTCACTTTAAATGCTGAAGTGTTTTAGCCCTGCTTTCTATACCGCTAAATACGTCTTTTGTATCACTATATAGAGAACATTCACATTCATACACATGTACGCTCACTAGGGTTAATTTTTGGTGGAAGCCAATTAACCAACCAATATGTCTTTGCAATTCATCAACTCCTTCACATCATTTCAGAAAACTGTAAACAAGTAAAAAAAACACCACAAAATATATCTAAAGTGTAATATCTGCCAATCAATCATATCCTTTACATGATTAAAAAACACACACAGGAAATCAATCACAGGCTTTATGATGTTAAAAGAGCACAGCTTAGCAAGCCCAGTGTTTTTATACCGCTCATAGAAATCGGAGAGAAGCCTAAATATAAAGGGTTGTGGTACACATCTGGTTTCCTAGATCTGACAAAGCTGCTGCTAAGCCACCATTGCCTCATCACGTGCATTGATTATACAGCGAGGGTAGCATACAAGCCACAAAACCACATCAGCATGTGTTTGATTTCTTTCTCCGACAACTGCTGCCATATTAAAAACATTTCATACGTCTCTCCTCCTATCGCACCTAGCTGAAGACACACACTTGACAACCTATGATTGGTTAAAGAACTTTCTTCAACAAACTCTTTTTTAGTGTCTAAAGAAAGATCTTTTCATATCAGCTGGTCTGTAACTTGCTGGGCATGCTGAAAGTATTCAAAAATTCTGAGCTTGAGAATCACGCATTGCCATTGTTCCTGCCACCAACATGGACAACTATGGAATGCCAAGAATTATTGACCACACTAAGCTCCTACGTTTTTGGAATTCTTTCATGCATATGCATATATACAGTGTCTGTCCGTCCATCCATCCATCCATCGCTCAGAAGGGTTGTTGGTTTTCTGAATTTGCTCTGGGGTTACGTTTTGTGGTTAGCACTCTGACAAGGCCTTGGCGCTTCGATTCACACCAAGTATACTGTTTGCATGGAATTGCTATGTTCTCCCAATGTCTCTAGGAGATTCCTCTGTCTTTGGACTGTGGAAGAAAGCCAAAAATCCCATGCTGGTAGGCAAAATGGCTAATGGCTTCCACCCAAAACATTGTGTAGTAAGGGCATTGGACTGTAATCTCCTTTAAGGGGACAAGGATTCTGATGTAAACGGTTCAAGTGGAACTCATGACAAAAAGTGTTTTCTGTAAAACCACTTTGGGAAAAGCATAAATCTTTGTGCTTACAATATTGTGCATAGAGGCAAAATTAGCATTCAAAAATTAGTGTGTGGCCTCCTTATTTACATAGGGCTTGTATATCAATATGTTCTAAGAACAACAGCCATTTTCTAACAGGCCCCAATCAGAATCACACAAACACACTTATATATAAGACACGTTCAGGCATATTTATAAAAGCAGTGAATTTCACAGTCAAACATTCACTGCAGGTCAATCTCCCAGGTGCATGTGGTTTAAATCAGTGGTCCCCAACCCCCGGGCCGCGGACCGGTACCGATCCGTGGATCAAATGGTACCGGGCCGCCCAAGGAACATTAAATTATTTCCATTTTATTTACTGTGGTGTATTTCTCTCGGGTTTGTCCGACTTTCCAGGACGAAAGGTTAACCGGGAGCTGAGAGACGTCACCTAAAGCCGCACCAATACCGCGCATGCGCAAAATATCGTGATATCGGGGGCGGTTTTAGGCGATGCCTAGAGAGTAGCGGCTGCAAGCGGCAGTGGCGTTGTAGCTTTGGTAAAGAGGTGTGTATCGCTCTTCTCTCTGTTCACCGGTACTCTCATGTTTAACAGTGCTTGGTGTACGTGTATATTGTGTTTGCTCAAATTTAACCCACAAATGAGCAAAAATGAGTACGAAACAGACGTCGTTAGAAAGTTTCCTTGGGAAAAAGAAAAGGCCCAGTGAAGAGACAGAAGAAGGGCCTTCAACATCAAAGAAACATGTCACTTTTAACAGACAATACCATGAGTCCTACTTGAAATATGGATTTATCGGGACAGGTGATTCCCACACACCAGTGAGTTAAAACGTTAAATCACTTTATATTCAATTTTTTGGTGTAACTGCATTTTATTTTGAAGGCATGTTTAAATACAATTAAAATTATTAAATCAAAACAATCTAAAATATAAACAATCAGCGTCCCCCCTCAGCGGGCCGCGGTAAAATGATCAAACGTTGACCGGTCCGCGGCGATAAAAAGGTTGGGGAGCACTGGTTTAAATGACTGACTGATTCACCACCAATGAATGTTTGGTGGAAGTCACAATCACTGGTTTCTAAGTGTGCCCCTTAGACTGGCATACAATGTTCAAATTCAGCAGCAATCAGACAAAATTCAAGCTGTGGCCCCATCAGCACCCCTCAGGCCGAAACGGGGGAAATGCAACAGGTGTATGGCTAGCTGTAGTCTCTCGTTTGAAAAATGTAGTTTTTGTAGCATCCGTTTGACTTTCTAATTGATAACATGGTTAAATCGATTGTTTTTAACCATACTGAGGGGGAAAAAAACATTTCTCAAACTAAATTCTAAACACTGAATGTGGTTTCCAATTAGAAAGTTCCATTTATTCCAAAATCAAATGTTAAAATCAAACGAAATGGCAAATAACATTGGTCACGTCTCTGATTGCATTATCGAATGTTCTGATGGGATTTTTTGTGCAAAATTCCTACTGCGTTCACCCAGCTTTACAGTGTAGTTAGTGGAAACACGACAAGCACAAACTAGGGTTTTCCACCAACAGTACAATTATTTATTCATATTGAATACAATTAGAAAATGTTTGAGCCTTGGGTGAAAGGTGTGTAAAATATTCATAAATATATTTATTTAATAAACATGATTCAATAATGGACTCCCTTATCTATAACTGCAGAATCATAAAGTTGCCATTTTCATGATTTGTTTTCTCTGTATTATCAGCCGATTTGCAGGCACAGATACAGATTTCTACAATCTGGAGTGACCTCAACAAACAATCAGACTACAAGTCACCAAACAGGAAAGGAGCTGTAAAAAGAAGACATTGCACAACAGAGGAAATTCCTGGGTGGCATCAGCCCTGGCTACCTTTTTGTCCATCTGCTCCCTCAGGGGGGGGAGCTGATTGATATGTCCCCGGGAAACATGTGGCAATCAATCAACATGTGATGAATGGTCACTAGAGTTAAGCCCTGACCTGACGCTGTGACCCTTCTTGCATCACTAAAGTGTTTTAATCCATCCCTCCTTCCAGCATAAGCTAGATAGCCAAGGGCGCAACAGGAAAAAGAGTAAGCCAAAGGCTGTCATATGCTACCCTCTCAAGCACAAGGCAACAAAAGTGGAAGTCTTGGCACACCATTACCTCTTGCTACTTTATTGTATATACAGCAAAAACACATGTGCCAGAAAACCCAATATCAAGTCATCCTATCATGATAAATTCTGAAGGCCGCCGAAAAGTAAAGCTGGCCATACAGAAGTAAAAATTCTTTAGAAAAAATAATTGTTTTCAGAGCATATGTTCAATTTTATTTCAGTACTACAGTCGAAAACGTGGGGTCAATTTGACCCCCATTATCTTTTAGAAATGAGAAGGGGCAGGGTGGAAAATTATCATCGATTGAACAAAATAAAAAAAAAGTGAATGTGGTTCTTGTTCTGGAAACTCCATTAATTTCTAAAATTGTGCAAAATTTCAAATGACATTCTACAAATCTCTCCGATTATCAAATGTTCTGATGACAATTTTTGTATGAGCATTGATATGAAAATCTACCAGTGTATTCCCTTTCACATTTTAATCCTATTCCCTTTCACATTTTAATCCAGTGACAACAGGATAAAAAAAATGAGACGACCAGGAAGTCAGGAGACCTGGACAACAAAACCTGACGGATATCCTAACCCTTCTCCAATCTGTCAATTGAAATAAAAATCAGATGCTGTCTATGTCTTTATGTTCAAAAAGGCCTATATGCATTGTATTTTAAATGCTGCAACATTTTTACATATAAATGTACAAGAAACTATTGAATGCTTGGTCAACTATTTGATTGACACACTATTAGACAACCAAATATCATGTATAATCTAGATCACTCAAATTATCATCATTGATATTGACTTTATGTATCCACTGTTAAATAGTATATGAGTTTCTGAGCCAAGACCAATATTCTAAACCACAAATCTATCCACCAACATATTTGTTTTTAGAGGAGAGAGCGTTCAATAGCCTGAATGTTGAATGGAAGACATCAAATATTGTCCCAATATCATCGATTCTATTCTGACTTGCTTGTTGCACCCTGAACCATAAAGGGTAGGGCAAGTTCTGTTTTATGAATGTAACTCTTCTTAAACCTATTGTAATCACAAACAGCACATCAAAGTCAAATCCATAGAAATTACTATTAAAAAAAACAACTAGGTGGCTCATTTATTGGATCCAGTATTGACGAGACTATAGCTAGCCATACACCAGTAAAATTGTATTCGATAAAATGTGGATTTAGAAGGTTTGGTTTTCTAACAGTTAAATTGGCTCAAATTGACAATGGTGTTTGACCACAGTGTGGGGAACAAATATTTATGGAGCTGTATGGAGATATATATATATATATATCTAACACTTTTTTTTTCCAAATAAATAAAATTCTAGCAGTGAGTTTGGTTTTCATTCAGTAAACTCCATTCATTCCAAAACCAAATGTTAAAACCAAACAAAATTGTGATTGAAATTCGGCAAGTCTCTGTTGGCATTATCAAACGTGCGGACCAGATTTTTTTGGTATGTGCCAATATCTACCAGTGTATTGCCAGCTTAAGACCTCAAGGTTCTGAAAGAAACTCTCATCTTGAATGCTAGTGTTCTTCAGTGTAACATAGCTA